AATTATCCCTCCCAGGACCCCCAAAATGAATAAAAACCAGCTTTAACTTTGTAAACCTGTATTTTATCGGAATTGAAACACCATCCCAGAGGAGGGTCCATTCCCCTAGTGTCAAGGAATAGGGGCATTTGGACACGGGAAGGCCCTCAAATCTGGCCCTCAAGAGCTGACCTCCGCACACACACACACACACACACACAAAAGATACGCGACCAAATTATATAAGGTAGGATCGATAGCGAGTTCCTGGCTTTAAGTCCCTTTAAAATTACCTAAAAAATAACGATAAATTTTATAGGCTTCAAGATCGCTACGATCTGCCAGACATGCGCTATTGCTCAGAATATGGAGGAGAAGGACAGGGAGAAGAATATGCGAATTGTGTCCGGATTCCTCGTTTATGAGCATTCTGTGGCAAAGTAAGGATGGTTAAAGTTAAAGTTAAATATTCTTTTTATTTCATAATAATTAAAATTAATTAAACTTAAAAATAGAGGAAAATAAAATAGAATAAAGTAAAAAAATTAAGAAAATAACGTTAAAATGCTCATTTTTAAGCGCCATCGGTGAAAAAGTGCGGCGTACGGCTTCTGGAACTTTTTTTGTCATCGGCATTTATATGGTAAGCTAATGAAAAAACTTAACTTAAACTTAAAATACACCCCAAAAATCAGATTTTTGAGCCAGAAATGAAGCCAAATTTGGGGCCAACTAGCAGAGATTTTTGAGGAATTTTCAAATTTTCCATTTACCCGATCTTTCAGCTAACAAAAGTGCTGTTCGTGGCCAACGCCCTCCTCCAATTCGTGCTCCTGAAGGGTTTCCTCGGCGTCGACACATTTTTCTGGGGACTACAGGTTTGAAAAGCTATATTTTAATTTAATTACATTTAAGGTGTTCAACGACATTTGCTCGGGGCGGGAATGGCCGCAGAGTGGCAATTTTCCTAGGTAAATCTTTTTTAAAACGGAAAAACTTCGAAAATTGGGCGATTTCTGGTCTGGGTCGATTGTTAGTGGGTTAAGCCATCAAGTGAAGGGCCGGGGTTCAATCCCCGCGGGTGTAAAACTTTCTGATTTTTGGTTTTACGAATTTTTTATTGTTTTAGAATACTTGTTTTTTAGGGTAACTTTCTGCGACTTTGAAGTGCGTGTGCTCGGAAATCTTCATCGCCACTCGGTGCAGTGTGTGTTGATGATCAACATGTTCAACGAGAAATTTTCATTTTCCTGTGGTTCTGGCTGTTCCCTCGTGCTCTGCTACAGGTCGGTCTCTCTTTCTCTCTCTCTCTCTCTCTCTCTCTCTCTCTCTCTCTCTCTCTCGCTTTCCCTATCCCAAAAATGCTGATTTTAGCGTGTATTCCCTGTTCTACTGGCTCTCCACCGCCTTCACCACGTCCTATGGAAAGGAAGGTGGTCCGGCATTATATTGAGAAGGTAGGAATTTGTGCTTTAACGGTGGGGGTTCTCAAATGGTCTCTTCTAGCCTGCCAATTTCAGATCGATCCTCCAACTGGCGATGCCGAGTACGACCACCACAAAAGGCAGCTCGAGGAGTTTGTCGTGGATAAGCTGCGTACGGACGGAGTGTTTGTACTCAGGTATGGTTTAAAAAAGAATAAACATTGATAAATAGTAAATAAAATTATTTAAAGTCTAAATACATTATTTCAGGCTGATCATGTCGAATTCCTCCTGGATATGATTGCGTGCTCGTTGATAAGGACGTTGTGGCAAGATTTTGTGAAGGTAAGCTAGCCCCATGTCTCTCTCTCACTCTATCTCCCTCCTTCTCTCTCTCTTTCTCGCTCTCTCTCTCTCTCTGTTTCTGACTCGCACGCTCGCTGTTCCCTCTCCTCCTTCCCACCCTTCCTAGGGCGCGTTCCCTTCGCTATCCCCTTGTGCCTTTGGTGTAATGGCAAGTACTCGCGACTACCAATCTTGTGGTCAGGGTTCCAATCCTTCCTGCAGCAACGCTTTTTGCTTTTTTGGCTAAACCCACAGTAACCATCCCTTTTCAATGTGATCATTTTTCAGGAACGCGGCAGCCGTCCCCCACCTTACGAGAAGCCCAAACTCCTCCAGGGTGGTCTCCTTCCCGAGAAGGACCAAGAGAGCGCCTTTTAGCCTTTCACGCCTTTTACATAGCGTAAGGTAGCCCAGGATGGTGAGATTTCCATCACTTATCGAATTTACACTTTATTAGCCGATTAAGCGCCGGTTTTTAATTGTTTATGTAAACCACCGATTCATGCCGAGTTCCGCTGCGATACAAAATACACATTCCGCCTCTTTCTCTCTCGGATGCCTCGAATATTTTGCTGTGCTTTGTGAGCTGTGATATATGATCGTCAATGATTGGATAACAAGGATTTAAGATAAAAAATTATAATTTGGATTCTGTGGAACTACAGTAGTGAAAAATACACGGAATATCGGATTAAAGACCGTCAATTTTTCATTTAATTTCCTTAAATAAGTCATATCTAAATATTATACGTATTTTAGCTATTAAGGTATTTCAGTGGCATATTAAATGTGTTTACACCGACGATTTTTTAAAAATAAGGTTTATTCAGTTTAATTAATTTAAAAAAAATTTTGTAATTAAATTTTTAATTTTTGAATTTTTAGTTTCACTCAATTTATATACCTAACAACTACCGTATAAATCGAATAGAACCCTCTACAGTACCCCATTAAACATTTCAGCCCGCCGACTCGACCCGACAAGGTCGAGCCCTAATTTGAGGTCGGGGCGCTTCGCGGTGGGCTAACTTTTTGGCTGGCTGCCAGGAGACTGGAATTTCGAAAAATGCTGCGGGAAAAGTGGACGCAATTTGGAGGGTGTCCGAATGGAAAAACCTCGGAATCAAAGGAGGATTCTGTTAGCACGATGAGCAATACCCGGGAAGTAGTCCTTGAATTTTGACGTTTAGCATCTGGTTATTTCACTCTCGCTCTCTCACTTTCTCTCTCTCTCTCTCTCTCGCTCTTTCTCTCTTTCTCCTCTCTCTATTCCGTTCTCTCTCCATCTCTCCCTCTCTCGCTCTCTGTCTCTCTCCTCTCCTTCCATCCGATTTGCATGTATGGACTTTTTCCGAGCGTCTGGACAACGCCAGCCTTTTCACACAAACAGGCCTACGGTTCAGGACCAAGAGTCAAACATCCCAAAGATGAGAGAGCAGAGAGAGGAAGCAGAGAAAGAGAGAACTGGGCAGGGCAGGCTGTAAAATGTGCAAGTGGACACGGCAAAGGGGGTTGGTAGGGGACGGCTATTGTCACATTGACGACTTCCAGAAGTTGGGGCAGGTTTATTTAAAGGGAAAGGGCATAAGGGTTGGATATGGATTTTTGGGCTAAGGATTCCTACGTATTTGGAGGAACCAGCGACGCGCGACGTACACGCGGGTAGCTGAAATCCGTAGAAAAAGCCTCTCCAGGGACTTTGAAGGGATCTGCACGCGAGAGGGAAGAGGGAGAGAGAGAGAGAGAGAGAGAGGGAGGGACAGTGAAAGATAGAGAAGCGAGAGATAGTGCAGAGAGAGAGCGAGGGAGATCGAGAGAGACAGAGAGAGCTTTGTGAGACAGGTAGAGGAGCTAGAGAGAATGAGAGAAACAGAGAGAAACAGAGAGAGAGAGAGAGAGAGAGAGCTCGGGAACGAGAGAGCATGAGAGCGAGAGCGAGAAGAATGCGAGAGACTGAGCAAGGGAAGCGAGATCGAGCAATGAGACAGAGGAACAGACTGACAAACAAACAGGCAAACAGCCAACCCTTAAATTTGTATAGTTTTCCGTACTCCACCATTCGTTCTCTCCCTCTCTCTCTCTCTCTCTCTCTCTCTCACTCTCTCCCCTCCATCTGACTAATGATTCGGGAATCGTGCTCATTGTCTGTCTGTCTGTCTGTCTGTCTGTCTCGAGCAAGAGGGCCGAGGTATCCTCCCTCCCCCTCCATTTTGGGGGTCGTCCATTCGGAGATGCGAGAGGGTGGAGGGGCAGAGATTGAGAGCGAGGGTGAGAGGCGTGTCTCTCTCTCTCTCTCTCTCTCTAAAAAGAGAGAAAGAGGGGCGGTAGTAGCACTGTATCCCATCGATCCCCACCATGCCCCGGCCTTCTCGCCCCTCTTCTACCCCGACAGTTCTGTACTCTTTTTACGTTTTAAGGGGGGATTGAAGGTTAATTGGCTATAAATTCCGTTACTTTACTCTTTACGCTTCCAATTAATTTATCAAATTTGTTTATGGTAATATTAGAGTGATCTTTTGATTATTTAGCTGACTGCTCAGGCCCTTTAAATTTTCCGAAAATGACCTTAAAAGCATTTAGACGGGGAAAATTGGGAGTTCATTTCATCCTATTGACGACAAACGATTTCTAGCACTTCTCTGGCCCTCTGAAAGCCTGTAAAAAATCATTTAAAGGTCCAGGTAAGGTTCAAAAGCTGTGGATTCCGCACAAATTCTGTTTACGCCGAAATTTACGGATTTTTGTGTGATTTTATTCAATTCTGTGGTCCTTAAAAAACGCCGAAATTGTTCTAAAGATATTTGGAAGGATCGGATCTTACGGATTTCGTTCCATTCCTTATTACAACAGCCATTTAAAGCGAATTTAATGTTTTATCGTAATTTCTCGAATCTTTTTGAATTTGACTTTTTATGACTTCAACGTTCCTTTAAAACGCCGCAATTTTGATAAAAAGTCTTTAAAGGGACTTGGAAGGCTGCCAAGCTAGCTTCCGTTTGCACCATAATAATTATTATTTTTCAGGCGATTTACCTATTCCCGGCGGGCAGTGTACGGAGGTGTGGCGCGTAGCCCTAGAAGAAAAAGAAGGGGAACAAGCAGAAGACGATGTTCTTCATCGACGTATTTCTGAAGGGGCTGAAGCCGAATTATGATGATGATGCGGTGGATCGGTTGAATTACTACTACACCCCAATGTTGATCGTCATTTTCGCGTTGACGCTCTCCGCTAAACAGTGGGTTTTTATGGGTTTTTTGTGTTTCGTAGGCACCTATAAATTCCCAAATGCTCTCTGCTAGCTGGCCATTTCTTATCTGATCATGAAAACGCTAGCTTTAATGCTCTCGGACCTATATATTCGATCCCAATGAATCTCTGCTAGCTGTCCCCAAATTCCGAATCGCTCGAAACATATAATCTTGATTTGATATGTTCTCAAACGGTCTCTGCTAGCTGACCCTTTCGCCTAATTTTGAAAAGATCTTCTGAACGCTCCTAGAGCCCATTTTTAATTCCTAAATGATCTCTGCTAGCTTGCCCTTCCTCCCTGCGTGTTTGAGAAGCTTTCATTAGTGCTCCGAAGCTGTAAATTACCATTTTTTCCCAAAGAATCTCTGCTAGCCTACCTTGCACTTGTAGAATCAATCCAAAATCCGATTTTTTCCGAAATGATTCCTACTAGTATGCCCCTAAAGTAGTTTTTCAAAGGAATTTAGCAGGTAACGTGGATTCCACAATTTTCTACCGTAAGACCGTATCCTAGCGGATTTCGCTCTCCGGATCCGTCAAGTCCCAAATTTCTCCAATAATCTCTGCCACGCCCGCAGATTTCGAGGTCATTTATCGATTTTCTTCCGACGTCCATAGTGGCTTAGTGGAATGACCTCGCGATTTTGATTCGATCTGCATCCCGAATTTTTATCTCTCCGCCTCATCGCCGTCAGGGAGTTAGCCGCACAAGGGAGCGAATGGGAGGGGCCAGCCAAAATATCGAAAATGCGCATTTTAAAGGGACTATGACAGGGTTAATTCAGCAGATTTTGATGCCGTAATCCTTTGGGCACGGGCAGGTTTTCTTGAAATTACTTAAAAAACAACTTTGAAAATTTTTAAAAATCGCCGAAAACTTTTTGAAAAATGGCTAGTATGTAGAGGGTACTTTAAAGGCGACAAGACAACACTTTAATTCGCTGTATTTTCATACCGTAATCATTAAACCGCACCTCGACCTTGATTTCCCTACAACATCCTTGATTTCAAAATGTTTCGTCATGCTATTGGCCTCTGTCATTGTGAAGGCTAGAGCGGAATGGCCTTTATGCAAATTAGCCATCTCACCTCGCCGCCCGTCCCCTATTTTACAGGCCATACCATTTCTCAACTGACACCTAGGGGATTGATTGAATGGAAAGGGGTGAGAAAATGGGTGAAAAAGAATGGCAGAATTCTAAAAAAACACCGCTAGTAGGCCCTGTCAATTCCTAAAGGATCTTGGCTAGCTTGCCTTCCAAAAAAAGGCTTGTTGGCCAACCCCAAAAAGACCGAGAAATTCATCAAAAAATCCATGCTAGCTTGCCCCAGGGTTTCTGGTAATACTTAAACCAAACCATGTTCTAAGAATCCCTGCTAGCTTCCGGTAGATGAAATACTTTCCCCAATAATTACTGCTAGGCGTCCGCTAGCACCAAAGTCATCCTAAAGAATCTCTACTATTTGACCCAATTTCCTCCAAAGAATCTCTGCTAGCCCACCCATTTTTATTGGCAAGCCGAGAGGTAAACTAGCAAAGAGGATCACTCAGACTTTAAAAAATTTACGTTCTTCCAGATACGTCGGTCAGCCAATCCAATGCTGGATTCCCGCCCAATTCACTGGAGCATGGGAACAATATTCGGAGAATTACTGCTTCGTTCAGAATACATACTTCTTGCCCCTCAATCACTATATTCCTCATGATGTCGAGGAGAGAGAAAATAGAGAGATTGGTAGGTGGAGAGAGAGAGAGAGAGAGAGAGAGAGAGATAAAACGAGAAAGAAAATAATGTTTAGCCGTCACGATAGCCATTAATGTGCCGACTAAAACCAACAATTACAGGCTACTATCAGTGGGTTCCATTCATTCTCGGCCTACAAGCTATCCTTTTCTACCTCCCATCGATGTTTTGGCGTATTCTGAATTGGCAATCCGGTAGGCTACAAACTAAATATTACAGACTACAAACCACCCCTCATAACGGTTATACTCCGAAGACAATACAAACTGCAGATCATAAAATACACACTACAAAACACACCCACTTACGATTAAATCTCCTGAACTACAAATCACAGCTCTCTATTCCAGGAATCTCGGTGAAGAGCCTCATCAAAATGTCGAAAGACACCGGGAATATGGTGACAGGTTCGCGATGATTGTCGAGTTTTTAACCGGAATTTGGTGTAGAACGGAGACATCAGAGTGTAAAGGTTGTCGCGGCCCACATCTACGACTCACTGGAGACGCAGAAGAAGCTCGCAGGGCTCAGTGGGTAGTTGCGGTTTCTGGTGGCAGGCTAGCAGAATTGCCTTAACAACTCAGTGCTCAAACTCAATTTAACTGCTATTTCCAGGCCACATGACCCGTTTCGTGCACGAGGGCAAATATCTGACGTCGTTGTATCTGATGACAAAGGTCTTATACGTACTACAGGCTGTCGTCCAATTCTTCATCCTTAATAGGTAATAATGTTTTTCCATATCTCTCTCCGTCCTTCGCTCTCTCTCTCTCTCTATCTCTTTCCCTCGTTCTCTCTCTCTCTCTCTCTCTCTCTATGTCTCTCTCTCCCTATGTCCATATCTCGCTCTCTCTCTATCTATCTCTCTCCCTCGTTCTCTCTCTCTCGCTCTCTCTATCTCTCTCTCCCTATCTCCATCTCTCGCTCTCTCTCTATCTATCTCTCTCCCTCGTTCTCTCTCTCTCGCTCTCTCTATCTCTCTCGCTCTCCCTCTCACTCTCTATCTCTCGCTCTGTCTCGCTGTCTCTCTCTATCTATCTATCTCTCTCCCTCTCTCTATCTCTCTCTCTTTCTCCCTCTCTCTATCTCTCTCGCTTCATAATCCTCCATATTTCAGCTTCCTCTCCACCTCCTATTGGTTCTGGGGTTTCGGCATCCTTCGAGATCTGGCGTACGGTAGAGAATGGGAGGAGAGCGGACATTTCCCCAGGTAATTTTTACTTTAGGGTGGCCGAAAGAAAGTAGTTTAGCAGATCGATCCCTTTGAAAAGCCGGAAAACGTACAATTTGGACTTGCCAACCCCTTTAAGACGGCGGCAACCTTTTTCGTTGAACGTTTCTCCACGATTCCGTTTTTCAAAATTCCGCTTGTCTTCTTCACCCCTAAAATCAATATTTCCGCGATGTGTTGGACTAGTGATTGGCTGCGTTCAGAGGATGGTGGCGGACAAGGGGGGAATGGTCGATGCCACATTTTATGGGGGTCGCCTTTTAGTGGACAGGGACTGGGGAGAGGGGGCCGGAATTGCAGTCGAGCGGAATAATGGGAATTAGTGTTAATTCACCCGTTATAGTCCCTTTAAAATCGAAAAAAACAACATAAAAATGATGGCGATATAAAAGGCTTTCACTACATTCTTTAGGGTGACAATGTGCGATTTTGTGGTTCGCGAGCTCGGAAATAAGCACAGGCATACGGTGCAATGTGTGTTGATGATCAACATGTTCAACGAGAAGGTGAGGCAAGAGAGAAAGAGAGAGTGAGAGAGAGCGAGAGCGAGGGCGAGAGAATCGTCGAAATCGATAATTTATCCAATGTCAACCAAATTTTCAAAATTCAAGGTTGTCCAAGGCAAGAAATCTGTAATCCCTCTAAAATGCTGCTGCCTTCCAAGTCCCTTTAAAAGCCTAGACCCTATATCAATATTTTTCAGGTGTACCTGTTCCTGTGGTGGTGGCTCCTCTTCGTTACCTGCGCCACCCTGTTCTCTCTAGTCTATTGGTATTGGCAGAGTTCTTCTAGCAATGAGAAGGGACAATTCCTCGCCAAGTATCTCTCCGTACTCGGCCTCTATAATTCCGATAATAAGGATCGTAAGTGAATATCTCGTTGATGCGTAAACTCTCGAGATTTCAGACCGAGACGCGTTGAAGCGATTTGTTCGTAAGGGGCTGCGGGATGATGGACTGTTGGTGGTTCGGCTGATCGCTGCTAATGCTGGCGATCTGATTACGACAGATCTGGTATCGGCATTGTGGAGGAGATTCTTGGAGGATGAGGTACGCGGCAGAGACCATTTGGGATTTGAGAGTGGGACGGGCAGGCTAGCAGAGACCATTTGGGAATTGAGAGAGGGACGGGCAGACTAGCAGAGGCCATTTGGGAATTGAGAGAGGGGACGGGCAGATAGCAGAGGCCATTTGGGAATTGAGAGAGGGACGGGCAGGCTAGCAGAGGCCATTTGGGAATTGAGAGAGGGACGGCAGGCTAGCAGAGGCCATTTGGGAATTGAGAGAGGGGACGGGCAGGATAGCAGAGGCCATTTGGGAATTGAGAGAGGGACGGGCAGGCTAGCAGAGGCCATTTGGGAATTGAGAGGGGGACGGGCAGGCTAGCAGAGGCCATTTGGGAATTGAGAGAGGGAGGGCAGGCTAGCAGAGATCATTTGGGAATTGAGAGAGGGAGGGCAGGCTAGCAGAGATCATTTGGGAATTGAGAGAGGGAGGGCAGGCTAGCAGAGACCATTTGGGAATTGAGAGAGGGAGGGCAGGCTAGCAGAGATCATTTGGGAATTGAGAGAGGGAGGGCAGGCTAGCAGAGATCATTTGGGAATTGAGAGAGGGAGGGCAGGCTAGCAGAGATCATTTGGGAATTGAGAGAGGGAGGGCAGGCTAGCAGAGATCATTTGGGAATTGAGAGAGGGAGGGCAGGCTAGCAGAGATCATTTGGGAATTGAGAGAGGGAGGGCAGGCTAGCAGAGATCATTTGGGAATTGAGAGAGGGAGGGCAGGCTAGCAGAGATCATTTGGGAATTGAGAGAGGGAGGGCAGGCTAGCAGAGACCATTTGGGAATTGAGAGAGGGAGGGCAGGCTAGCAGAGACCATTTGGGAATTGAGAGAGGGACGGGCAGGCTAGCAGAGATTCTTTAGGAGAATGCAGGCTAGCAGAGATTCTTAATACAAATTTCGCGAGCCAAGCAGGCTAGCAGAGGCCATTTAGGAACCTTACAACCTATTATTTTTCAGCTAAAAGAAGCAAAAGCAAACAACGGCAGCGGCGGTCCCGCCACGGCCCCCCTCGAAGAAGGAGACGAATTCTCGGAGAAGACCCCGCTACAGTAATCCTCCCCGGTTTGGGGCATATTTTAGGAATATAGCCAGCTCATATATTCATTTTCCCTCCTCACTTCACTGCCCCTTTAAAATGGGCCTCCCCCAATTTTGCAATACGTTTTGCGTATTCCTCTCTCCACGCGCTCACCCCTCGAACTCAGATGAATTTTTAAAGGTTTAACATTTAATTTTTTGGGCTTGAAATCTATAGTATGATCTTTTGGATTCCTTATTTTCCGATAGTCCATAATTCCGATTTTTCCCGATTTTTTCTGGGCGGGGGAACTGCCATCCCACATTAGCGGGGAGGGTCGCCGGGTTTAATCCAATTTTACGGTCCCCGCCCCCTTTCAGTGGCCGTCAAAAGTTGCGCAGTGGAAACTTGGGAAAAACAAGGTTTAGGGACCATGAAAAAATATAAAAATTTAATAGAACGTCTTAATCGTCTTAAAAGAAATCTCCAAAAATTTCGATTTCGAATTTCGATTTTTATCGAGTTAGCGCGACTAGGCGAGGGACCCGGGTTCAAACCCCACCAACGCCACTTTTTAGCCTAAAACTCAAAAAAATAGCTCCTGAAAAGTCGGTCGATTGTTAGTGGGTTAACCCGTCAGGCGGACGACCCGGGTTCGATCCCCGCCACCGCCAAACTTTTTGCTTTTTGGTATTTTTGGAGATTTCAGCTCCCACTACCCCCTGAAATTGGTGATATTCCACTTGTGATCGATATTGATGCTATTTCTCACGAAAACATTCCGATTCCCGCCGAGTCGTGCCTTTCATGAAAAAACCTTTTATGCAAATTTTGCCTGAAATGAGCTATTTTCGATTTTTTCAAAACCCATATTTTGCAAATATAGCGCCAGTTTTAAGTTTTCGCGATTTGAATAAAACTTTATTTTATGCCGTAATACCGTAATACAATATTATAACAAATATTAGAGAATTTGCATAAATAGACAATAAAAAACAGTGAAAAAACACAAAATTGACAATTAGCACTTGCAAAAATTATAGTTAAGACGATTTTGAGCATGGTACAAAACGGAATAAAGTGGAATCGGCCTGGACGAATACGGTAAGGGGGTTAATACAGGGCATACGGTAGCTGGGGGCAAGGGATTATTTTTGGAACAAAATTTGCATAAAGGCACATGAAAACAAAAATAATAAAATAGCTAGATAAGATTAAAGTTGAAGTGACTAGACCAAAAAATGAAGTAAATCGAAAATGCAAATGTGGGAGGTATACGGTGGATTTTAAAGGGGGTGGTGTCAGGTGGACGGCTAGAAGGAGTGGATCGGCACGGAGAGGAACTCTTGGGAGGCCATTCCCGTGTTTCTGAAAATTGTGGTTAAGGCAGGCCATGGGACATTTGGGAACTTTGTCTCTGGGGTGGATAGCTTGATTTTATGGAATTCTGGACACATTCTTGGGCAGGCTAGCAGATTCTTTGGGAATCCGCCTGGCAGACTAGCAGAGGTTCTTTGAGAAATATGTTACCTTCGGCAGGGCAGGCTAGCATGGATTTTTAGGGAATTTCCAGGGCTACCTGATCAGGCTAGCAGAGTTTCTTTAGGAATTTTCTGGCTTTGCGTTCCCCAGGGGCAAGAGCCGAGATTTTTTGGGAAAACGTACGCTAAGAATTAGGACATTAGAGGGCAATCTAGCAAAGATCATCTGCGAAATCCCCTAGATGTCGCTGGGCAAGCTAACCGGGATTCTTTGAGACTTTAAAGCGCTTCTGGGACCCTTTGGAACTAACTTGTCAATGTCGACATTTGTCCATCTACCGCCATCTCCAGTCTTTAGTGAGAATTGCCACTGATCGTTTGAGACGGACCCACTGAAAAAGCATACGGTAGAGAGAGAGAGAGAGAGTGAGAGAGAGAGCGAGAGAGAGGGCGAGAGAGAGAGAGAGAGAGAGCTAAAACTAAATCCAACTCACTTATGAGGCAACCTCAACTCGGCCGGCTTGTTAAATTGCAATCCCTGAGGCCCGCAGATGACCAACGGGCTCAGGAGGGTCTCCCCGCGGCTCGGATCGATGGGTGGGAGGACTGATCCCTCTTGGCATACCTCAAAAAAACACGGTATTTCATGGGGAAAAAAGGCCTTAGTCCTTCAAAAAGCTATTAAATGCATACCCTGACGTATATCTCGTGTTTTTGGCCAATGGGTAGTGCTCCAGCTGGGATGCGGAGTTCGACTCGGCTCCCCGGGCAGGTCACCACACCTCCCTCGGCTCCGACCTGAAATCGAGCGGTTTTAAAGAGGCTTGGAAGGCAGAATCAACGTTATCTATGGATAATCCAAAGACTCCGTCAAGTTCAGGGAATATACGGTAAAAACACGATTCTTTTTAATGATATCTAAAAATCCTAAATAATCTCTGCTTCTTTGTCAACCATTTTGGGTTATTCGGGGCGCAATTCCTCCATAACCTCCACTGGTTTTCCTGATTTTCGGTGGTTTGGGAGGACCGTTCCTCAAGAATCTTAGCTAGTTCGCCTAAGGTCGTTGATTGTCCGGGTAGTGTTTTCCTCAATAATCTTTGCTAGCTTGCCTTGGGTCATATCGGTATTCACGATTCCCCAAACACTTCTGCTAGTTTTCCTGGGATTTTTATTTATTTTGAAGGTATACGGTTCCTTAATGATTTCTGCTAGCTACCCCTACGCAACACTCCAAATTACATACCATACACGACGCTTCTTCAACCACCACCGGTTCCTCTTCATGTTGATGTGTATGACCATTTGGTCGTGGCTCAGAAGAGGCCGCAGATGGCGATTCATCGATATTTTGAATCTAAAAAATCATGAAATACTTTTTGGCTATCCTAATTCGATATTTTGGATCTAGAAAAAGTTATAAACTACAGTAAGCCCTACCGTATTCGAGTGTCGATATTGTTGCTGTTGTTGTTGTCCATTCAATATTCTGCCTCCATTTTCCAGCAAATATCCTCCCCTCTTCTCTTGATTATTATTGGTGGTGGGGGCGGCGGCGGCGAAGCTGCCATTTACTCGTTCTCTGAAAATTAATGGTTTGCGCATCTATAGTCAAAGATTTCCTCAAGAATCTCGGCTCTCATGCCTTTTTCCACAAGAGTCTCTGCTAGCCTGCCATTTTTTTGATTCCTTAAAGAATCGCTGCTAGTATCCCTTTTCACGAAAAATGTCTGTGAGCTTACGCTTCTCCAGGACCTCAAGACGATTCCTGAAGCCTTTCTGCTCGATTCCTCCCATTTCCTCACTAAACTCTGCTAGCTTGCCCCCAATTTTTAGCTTTTTCAAGGTTGTGGCGGCTTTAGAAAATTCCCAAATTCTCTCTGCTAGTTGCCCTAGCTAGCTCCGCGCATTAATGACGTCGTACGAGTACCCAAAGAGTCTCTGCTAGCTTGCCCGCCTCAGTGGCCACTGCTAGCCTATCCAACCCTGATCCGCGCATTAATGAGGGAGAATATGATAGAGCCGTACCTGTAAAAGCTATCTCCAGTGTAAAGTTGTGGTTTAGGGGCGATAGCAGGTCGATTCCTCCCTTTTCCATCTCCTCCCTGTCCATTTCCTTCCACCAACGGCTTCCGGCTGTACATATCGGCACTTGGGGGTTGAAGCGGGGTCTGAAATATGCAGATTAGAACCATTATCTAGCCCGAAAAGCCGCGCTAAAAGCTCAAAAATCTACCTGTAGTCGTTGGGTGACTTCGCGGAGTTGTTGGGCCGCATCTTCAAGCCTTTGATTTGCCTCTTCGCGTTCTCGGGTTGGGTCATCGCGTTTTTCCGGGGCTTCTCGTAGTCGTAACTAGAAATCTGGATATATGCGTGACAACATTTCTGACTCTCTCTCTTTCTCTCGCTCTCTCTCTTCCTCCCTCCCTCGCTCTCTCTCGCTCTCTATCACTGCCTTTCTCTCAAAAACTCACACTCCCGAGATCGACATCAATCCTGCTCGACGAGTCCCCTCCACTCAACACAGAATTCCCTCCTTCTTGCAGTAATTGTGTGACACTGTATCCACCCTGTGGCCCTCCGCCATGTCCCATTCGAAGGCCTAAAAACGATAGAAATATTGAAATTGGTTACACGTGACCCAATTCTTTTTTAATTAGTTAATTCCCATGGTTAGATTCCCACTGCAAATCGATTAGAAAAGTATTAAGGTCGCCCAAATTTCCCCAAATGCTTCTGCTAGTATCCATTTGTTAGACAGCACCCAAAATTCCACAAAAATCACTGCTAGCTTGCCCCATCGCAGTTGCTTTCCGGCTGCTGTTGCTGATGCGGCTGATGGTCTCTGCTAGCCTGCCACGGCTAAAATTCCCCAAGAATCTCTACTAGCTAACCAGCCCTTTTTCGACGACCAAAAGGGTCTCTGCTAGAATGCCCTTCCAGTTTTCGAATTTTGGTGGTTTTTTCAGGGGAATCGCCCAAAAATCCCGGCGAATGGAATCCCGACAGGCGAAATGCGGAAATGCTAATTAGCTGCTTAACAGTAAAGGACAGCCAAACGTAGCCTGCCCCTCCCAAGTGTCACCACCCCTTTAATCGTTAGTAAAATGCACACACCATCTCCATTCACTTCATTTTTCGATTGTAGCGATATCGTATCCTCTTTCCCTCCATTTTCCTTCTTCTCTTCTACCGTAATCCCCATCATTCCACCATTCGTCGTGGGTCTCCTTTTAGCGGGCAGTGTCGAGTATCGATTCGGGGGTTGTGGGGGGCCATTTGAGGGCTTGTTATTGTGGTTGTTAATCGTATAGTGATTAGAGGGGGCTGGGCACGGCACTCGAGAATGGAGGGCGGAAGGAGCATGAGGGTGATGCTCACTTGATGCTGATGATCCACCACCGCTCATTGAGGGGGTTGTATCCCAGGCGAGGTAGCTTCTGAAATTGGAGTGGTATTGACGATGGCTCTCTCTCTCGCTCTCTCTCTCTCTCTCTCTCTCTCTCTCTCTTGTCACGCTCACTCCTACCTGCTCATCGGTGATGGTGCAATATCAGAGCGTTGTGAGTAATCTCCGTAGTCTCCCTTCGAGCTCTCCACATCTGAATCAGCGCCTGACGCCTTCGCGCTTGCTGCTGGGAAGAGGAGCACGTCTTCGAGTGGGATATTTGGTGGGAATTCTGGCATCCAGAGTCTCTGAAAATCGCGCATTAATGGGAGGTGTCCAAAAAGGGCGCTGTTAGCCTGCCTTCTCCTAAAGAATCTCTGCAAGTCTGCCTTGGCCTCAAGAATCTCTGCTAGCCTGCCCTCCCTCTCTCAATCCCCAAATGGTCTCTGCCAGCTTACCCTCTGTTGCAGGTGTGCAATCAAATCCCGCAAAGCATCAAACCATCCCTCCTCTTGACTCGCATCTACCGTAGCTGAAATTGTCAAATTCTAAAATCCGCCTCATCCACCGTACCCGACAACAGATGTGCATGATGTTTCTTGATAGCTGATGATTGTTCTGCCAGTTTTCTGCTGGATACATGGGGCGCATTCGCTTTTTTGCGGAGCTCCCTGGAAAGCGTAAGCAGGCGTAAAACGTAGTAGATTTTAACCTACCGTATCCTCGATCTTCCGTCCACATCGATTAAAACGACGATGGGGGCATATTGGGCGAGTTGGAGGCGTTCGATCTGGAAAAGGGGGCGTGGTTTAAAGAGACGGTGACCGTTCCAGAAGATCGAAATCTAGGTGACACTGTCCCTTTAAAAGCGCGAAAAATTCCATTAATGTCATTTTTGCGCTTTTAAGGGGACTGTGACAGCAAAAAAACCATAAAGCCTACCGATTCTACCGAAATATCCAAAACCGCGTGTTTTCCAGCGGCAATCAACTGGTCCACTGCTCCTGAAAGGTAAAAGATAATCTCTCTCTCTCTCTCTCCCTCTCTCTCTGTCTCTCTCGCGCTCTCCCTCTCTCTCTTACCTAATCTTACGATACCATCCGGAGGACCGGCAAAGCGTAGTGAGTAGTGAGAAAGGAGTTGAGCACGAGCCATGTCGGCGAGGGGGCCGAGGAGGACGAGAGGCCTAAAAATAACGGGTTAAAGGGGGGCTGAGAAGCCTGACAATACCTCGGGAAACTAGGTGTGCTGAGTGCGACTCGTTCATAGGCAGGTGGTGGTACGCTGGCTGCTGCTTCGGCTGGGTCACACAACACATTCTTGGGGAGGCTTTTCGTTCGTCTGGAAGCAAAAAAAATGATGGGGGCTCTAGATGTCGGGGAGTCGGAGCTCATGCTCATATTTTGAAGGATGCGGAGAGTTATGAATGTATATTTTTAGAGGGGCTATGTCAGGGGAGCTTGTTGCCGGGAGCTATTAGCCGGCTTTGAATGGAAGATTGAATTATAGGCGGGGAGCTAGAAGTTGGGAGCTGGAAGTGAGAGTGACATCAGAAAATCGGGACCTAGGAGCTGAGATAGGCTCTAAAACGAACCTCGCATCCAACCGCCTCAATAACGTCCCGCCAGCCCCGAGCTTCTTCTGAGATTCGGCCTGTTGTCTCCGTTGCTCTCTCGCCATCCCTTCAGCCGTTATCTTAAAAAACAGCCATACTACCGTGATCCAAAATTCCACAGTACCTGATTGGGAATGACTCCTTTTATCGGCTCTCCTTTTGCTGTAGAAGCCGAATAGACCCTGGCGGCTTGCCAAAGACCCACGGTGCCTAGGAAAAATAGGGGATTAACGGGGCTGGGAAGGGAAGTAGGTACCTCCAAATAGCGTGTCCGTGACGTGGAAGATGTCGCCCTCATTGACAGCCAATTCGAGGGGGCTACCCTTCTTATCTTTGGAGAAATGGGCGCGGATGAAGAAGTTGTCGCCCAGCTGGTTGTTTCTGACCTGCTCGAACTCGGCGCGGGCGTGTTCTACCTGGAAAATGGATATTGAGGAGGATTATCTTTTGCTCTCTCCCTCTCTCCCTCTCTCTGTCTCTCTCACTCTCGCTCTCTCCTCTCCACCCACCCGTAGCGTCACCCGATCATCAAGCGCCAAAAGTAGCTGAACAGCGGCCTCTCTCGTCACCCCTCTCATACTCCGCCCATTCACCTAAATACCATTAATGCGCCCACCTTAACCCCTACCTCGATGATCTTATCCCCACAACAGACACCATGAAGGGCAGCTGGAGACTCGGCTGCCACGGCTGAGACGAAGATACCCACTTCATTGCCACCAACTACGCGAATACCGACACTTCCGCCAACCTGTAGAATGAGCATTAATGAGAGGATTTGGGTGGCCCTACCTTTCTAAAGGTGATTGCTCGGAGTCCGACATCATCCTTTTGACTTCGGAGGTAATAGTCGTATTCGGCGGGTGAGGCTATGCTGGTGGCTGGGGATGAGACTCTGAAAAGAAAAGATAGAGGGATAGAGAGAGCGCGAGAGAGAGAGCGCGAGAGAGAGAAAGAGAGAGCTAGACAGAGAGAGCGAGTGAGCGAGAGGAAGGGAAAGAAAGAGAGAGAAAGAGAGAGCGGGAGAAAGAGGGGAAACAAGTTGTTGAGATACAGAGAGTAAGCATGAAAGCTAGTGAAATAGAAAGCGAGAGCGAGCGAGCGAGAGAGAGAGAGAGAGAGAGAGAGAGAGAGAGAAGAGATACATACCTTCTATGCGAATCATCAGTAGCAATGGATCCTCCCCCTTCCGGTCTCCATTTCGGGCTATTAATATATTCATGTGAAGATCTCTGCGATAGCGTTGTCTGCTGATTTGGATGAGTTAGAGGAGATGGGCTATGCCGAGGTGTTGCTCCCACACTTCCCACACGTTCGTATACCTGAAACAAAAGGGATCGTCAGCGCAAAAATTCTGTACTGTTCATTCCCAAATTTTCTCTGCTAGCCTGCCCTCTATCAACCCTAAAATCTACCGTATTCTGTGACGGCCATCTGGAGGCACCACGTCGAACGTCACGCTGGATGACCAGGCAGAGTTTGTCGCGAGACCTGAAATAAATTGGGCTGATGTTGGGTTCTTAAAGGGAGCGTGACGCCTGACGACTCCATAAAATAGAGCTTTTTGGTTTTTAAAGGGAGTCTGACAGACATTAATGCGTGCCTACCTGTCGAGCCATTTATTACACTCTTCGAGACTGGCTCCCTCCACCGATTGCCCGTTTATCCGAACGATAGCGTCACCTTCGCGGAGTCCAGGATCCTGAAGTTGAAAAGTACGGTTCAGTACGGTAGATTACGGTAGAGTACGATGCAGTACGGTATGATACGCTACAGTACGCTATGCTACGATAAAACCAAGGCCCCTCCACGAACCTTTTCAGCCAATTTCGGGTTCCGGATCTCTTTAATGTAGAATTTGCATCCGAGCACGATGCCGAAATCTAAAACGTGCTCTTTCTACCGTATTCTGTCTGCTACTGACCGTCCTTTTTCCGCGATTTCGTGAGCGTAAATTTGAGGGTTCGCTGCTCGAATTCCATGACCGGCATCGCCACGCGCCTTTTCACGATCTAAATTGGTTTAACTTAATTTAAGCGGTAATTTGGAAAAACTAAAACTATAATAAGTATTGGTCTGAAAATTGAAGAATTTAAGTTAATGATTTTAAAACCCGAAAATAGCTAAATATGTTCTGAAAACGTAATAAATTGTAATTACCATATTGATCAGCTCGGCGTGCTTAATAATCTCGACAGCCGTATTGTTGTCGATATTTTCGAAGGATACCCCGTTGGCCGACAGGATGCGGTCGTTCACTCTACAAAAGTGAAGATATTACGTCAATTTATAGACGTTGATTGATAGGAATTAAAAAATAATCTTTTTAATTGCTAAAAAATAGAAATGACAATTTCTTACTGTAACAGCAAAAAGGCGCTTTCTGTCAATACAAAATTTCGAAGTAATTTTACAAAGCCTTAATGCGTGATTAAATAAAATGGGCTATTTTTGCTCAATTTAAACCGAAAAATTCCGAATTCCTTACTGTAAGAGACCCCAGGCGGGCCCGTTGGGTACAACGTCAGAGATGACGATCGTCGGCTCGCCAGATGTAAAGTGGGGATTGTCTCGTCCACCCGAGATCGCAATCCCGAAACCCACCGACGGAGTCTGAAAAATAAACGTTAGTACAATCAAGAAAAAAAAGAAAAAAGTGGTTAAATAGGAAGTAACAGGCTCGCGACGTTTCCCCAGAAGGGGCAAAAGAGGATTGGGCTCTCCAAAAACCAGGCATTTATGGTTCATTGGTAAGGATTTCGCTTTTGGTCGGTAGGGTCCGGGTTCGACTCCCGGACTTGCCAAAACTTTTTGCTTTTCTGTCAGAAGATTTATTCAAGCTATAGAAGTAGCAATTAGTTTCATATTATACCCGATTAACAATGAAGAGAGAGAGAGAGAGAGAGAGAGAGAGAGCGAGAGAGAAAGTGAGCGTTAGGAAACCTGAAAGGCTCAAAATCCAATTTTAAGGTATATAGCAACAAGCAGTGATACTAATCGCGTGCCGATGCATAGATCCTTTTGGGCCCTCTGGCTGGGCCCTTAGGTCATTTGGGAGGGTGTAGTGGATAGAGGAGAGTTAGGGAATACCCTGGGGGAAGATATCTCACTCATCACCCCCGAAGGGATCGACCCGACAAAGGGCAACAACCACACAACATGGATATGTACAATGAAGAGGTGATTAGATAGGATAAGGAGGGAGAGAGAGATAGAAAGAGAGAGAAGTGTCAGGGTCCCTTTAAAAATCCCTGAATTTTTCAGAAGCGTTGTGGTGTGTCATAGCTAGAGAAGGCAAGAGCACGAGACGGAGGAGAGAGATCAAAGGAGCGTGAGGAAGCGAGACAGAGAGAGAGAAGAGAGACAGAGAGCGACAACGAGAGAAAAATGTCACGGCCCCTTTAAGCACCTCAGATGCCAAGACAAACGAGCAAGAGAGATCGAGAAAAGGAGTGAGCAAGACCAAAAGAGAAAAGCTAGAGAGATAGAAAGAGGCACAATGACGGCGCGAGAGAGAATGAGTGAGAGTGAAGAGCCAAAAAAATGTCCAGCTCCCCTTAAAGCAACCAGTATTTTGATATCTTTTGGCTTACGGCGAGAGATAGTGAAAGAGAGCGAGCGAGAGAAAGAGAGTGTGTGAGAAAGAGAGACAGAGAGAGTGAAAGAGAGACAATCTCTCAGAGACAGCCAAAACCTAACCCTTAAAAAATGACCACCGGTGAATCAATAAGATAAGCATCTGTGGGGTGGCTTGTGGTGGGGGCTTATGGCCTCGAGGGGACACCGGATGCCAGGTATCAATTATTGAGAAGAGAGAGAGAGAGAGAGGGAGAGAGAGGGAGAGAGAGAGAAGGAGATCACAATCCCCCTGTATCCCCGTCCTCTATCCTAGAGGCCCAAAGGGGTGACAACTGTGTGCAACTGGGGCTGTAGTGGGCCCTTACACTATATGCCCCCCCCCTGGCCATCCACTGGCCATTCCGATGTGGGGGGCCACATTCACTCTATTCCTCTGGCCTCTCTCGCTCTCCCTCACTCTCTCGCCTCAAGAATACTGACCACCGGCAGTGGATACACAAAGTTTGCAAGGGGGGATATGACCCCAACAGGGGATTGGCTTGTTTTAAAGGGAACGTGACAGCTGTGAGAAGTACTTGAGCACGAGGTTATCTTTGCTAGCTTGCCCTCCTTTTCTAAATTCCCAAACGGTAGCTGCTAGCCTGCCAGCGGGGCTGGGATGCAGGATAAAGCGAGAGAGCAAAAGATGGAGGGACCGAAGCAGCGAGAGATAAAGCGACAGATGGAGAGACAAATGAAGGGAGAGATAGTGAGAAACAGAGAGAGCGAGAGAGAGAGAGAGAAATCGACAAAGCCTGAAATCCCAGAAAAACCTCCTATTGATGCAGACACGATCAGAAAAACAAGCTTCCAAAGCTAAAACCCCATCCTTCCCATTCCCTTTAAACCGGAATCTCTTGCCTAGGCTGGTAGCGGAATTAGTTGTGGTATGTCCTTGATTAGGGGCGTATTTTTGGGCGATCGTCAATGCTGATAATCCCCACCCCAATCCCATCTCGCTCTGTCTCTCTCTTCCCTATTTATCGTCCCATTCCGTCCCATTCCCACTTACGGCCACCCTCTCATACAAATCACTTCCCACTAATTACGGTACTGGGCGTTGGCCGGCAGGGTGGGCTACGGAACTGTACTCAGTACGGTCCGAAAACCTTGTAAAAATTAGAATTTAGAAGTTTGTACAAGGGGGGAGTGATAGCGTGTTAGCGAGAGAGATAGGTAGAGAGAGCGAGAGAGAGAGAAAGATAGATAGAAGCTAGACAGGGCCCGATAGTGAGCTAAAAAGCGGACCAGCGAGCAGAGATCCTTGAGGAAACTAGCGGTCGTATTAAATGTAGCGTGCCAGATAATCTGAATCTGAGACATACCCGATGGAGTGAGACGGAGAGCAGCTGCCAGCTCACACACCCGTTCGCGCTCATCTGAAACAATAACACTGTATCGGGTATCAAAGAGTTTGTATAACAAGAATAAAATGAGCCTTATTAAATTTTAACTATTAAAACCATAATTTTTACCTGATCGTCGTGAACGGGGGCGCAGAAGATTTCGTCTGGAGCCGGAGGAACGGGGAAGGGGAGCATCTAAAGAAAGAAAATGTTAAATTTGCGGAAAGCTAGACAAAGCGAGGGAGAGAGAGAGAGCGAGAGAGAGAGAGACGAGAGAGAGAGAGAGAGGTGAGACAGAGCGCGCAAAAACTTTATATAAGCTTTTGACAGATCCATTCGTAAGATTTTCGAGCAATAATCTAACAATACATATGAGCGATTCCTGCCTTCCCGGTCCATTTAAAACATGTCAAAACTCTCAAATATTCCAGAAAAGTCAAGATAAGCCCTGAATTCAACCCTCTTTTGCCACTTACACACTGAGTCAGAGCCCCAGCTCGTCTATTGTGTCGCGCGTGTAGAGGTGTGACACGGAAAGGACGGTTCGACAAAAATCCACGGGTTCAAATCGATCGAATTTGTCAACTGGAGGGTACCGTATAGGGTTTTACAGTATCATCTCGTAGCGGCTCGGAAGTGTACAGTAATTTTACACAGTGATGGCTTTTGATTACGGTATCCTACGGACTCCGTAATACGTACAGTATCGTAGTGAATGGTAAGTAATAGTAGTTCGGAGTAGGTGTGTACTATAGCGTGGCGTCAGTAGTACCGTATCGTAGCCCTCAGCTACGGCATAGATAAAACCGTAGTTTGTAGTGTTTGTAGTACAGTTTTTGTAGTTATACTGTTCCCTCCGGAATGAGTAGTCTCGTAGCGAGAAGCTACGGTATTGCCGTGATCAGTATAGAAGTGTAAAAATGACTCGCGGTCCAGGAGTGTCGCTAGTAGCGCTCCGGAATTACCAAAATGTTGTAGCGTAGTGAAATCGTACAATCTCGCAAGCCTCGAGTACAGTACCCTTCCGTAATCAGTACAGTAGCGTACTTACCGGCTTAAAGTGAGCTTGATAGCCCTGGGCTACAGATGGCTTTCAAGGGGGGAAGAAGTGAGGGGGAGGGGGCCAATATGAAGGGGTCAGAAGAAGGGCCCTTCCCCATCCGGATGTGTCCCCAGGGGAGTCACAAATCAACCGTTTCACTCGATGCCCACCCTCCCTCTCCCGAGCTCGTGCTCTCTCGTTCATGCTCAGCAATGTCTCTCTCTTTCTCTCCTCCAGAAACAAGTGGGATGGCAATCCACAACTTGCCGTCTTCAGCCTCGCCCCCCAGCAGAGTCATTCTTTTTTGGGAAACTTGCGAGGGCTCTCGTCTGTTTCTAGCACTTTTTGCTAAAGGAGATGGCAAGCTAGCAGAGACCATTTGGGAGGCGGAAAAAGACGTAAAAATCCTGTAATTTAACCTCTCAGTCGCACCCAAGCTAGCCGAGATCATTTGCGGATTTTCAAATCCAAAAAAATGGTGTCATTCGTACGGTATCGTACTCCAAGTTATGCGTACTGTAGCGTAGCCAGAAAAATGTTGGAATATAGCCATGTAGCGGTCGCTATGAGATTCAAAGAAACCCTGAACAAAAGCAGTAAGGCAAGCTAGCAGAGATCAATTACGAGACGTTTAGCATCTTAAAGACTAATTTAAAGGACCACTGAAGGCAAAAGGCGAAAATTCAGCAGCTTTAGCCGTCTTGCCAGTCCCTTTAAAAATACGATAGGGTCCGATACTGCAAAACAATGCGGGGCGATCAAGCGGGCCAGCGGGCGGGTAAATTCTAGAGGGGTGTGGATGGGTGGGTTGGGTAGAGAGATCGAGATGAGAGAGAGAGAGAAAGCGAGAGAGAGAGAGACTGTGTTTGTGTGTGCAATGGGGATAGGTGGGAAAGACAAATAAAACAGAAGAGAACAGACCGGACAGATCATTGGACCGGACGGGTGGACCCCCCGCTTCAGTTCCGCATGATTCCTATTGCCAATATTCCATCACACACACACACCATTCACACCATAGGGGCAGGCTAGCAGAGACCATTTGGGAATTGAGAGAGGGACGGGCAGGCTAGCAGAGATCATTTGGGAATTGAGAGAGGGACGGGCAGGCTAGCAGAGACCATTTGGGAATTGAGAGAGGGAGGGCAGGCTAGCAGAGATCATTTGGGAATTGAGAGAGGGACGGGCAGGCTAGCAGAGACCATTTGGGAATTGAGAGAGGGACGGGCAGGCTAGCAGAGACCATTTGGGAATTGAGAGAGGGACGGGCAGGCTAGCAGAGACCATTTGGGAATTGAGAGAGGGACGGGCAGGCTAGCAGAGACCATTTGGGAATTGAGAGAGGGACGGGCAGGCTAGCAGAGACCATTTGAGGAGCATAAGGCTAGTGCCCCTAGAAGAGAAAAATCGAAGAAAGGCGACTAGGGCCCTGGAAGGGCAGGGATTAGCGGAAGGGGGGTTGCCGTTTTAGCTGGGGCACATAGCATAACTATCAGCGATATTTAGGAAGAGAGAGAGAGAGAGAGAGAGAGAGAGAGAGAGAGAGATGCATACTTCTAAAAACCATCTGGCACGCTCTGCGGAAGATTCTCCTGGCGGGTAATGAGGCGCGGAACTTCCCCACTTTTATGAGGGTGTCCGTCGTAAAGGGGCTGGCTGTGGTGTAGGGATGGAAAAACAAAAGAATTTCGACTTAAAAGAAGACATTAAACAGACTTCACAGTTCCTTTAATGAGGAAGAGTAGTGTTCGGCGGTGTGGCCCAAAAAAGGGGGTGGCGTAAAGTTTGAGGCGGTGTATCGAGGCCGATTCATATCGGAACGGGGAGAATGGCGAGAGTGGGGTTAATTGGGACGTGTTTCGCTGTTTTTTCGGTGGTTAGAATCTATTTTCATGGAGCTTTTGCAATATCGGGGGAGGACGTCGCGAATTTCTTCTCTAAGCCGAGAAATGCCTACTATGGTGTTTTTAGTGCTATTTCGCTAAATTTCAGGTGAAAAAGAAATTAAATTCGAGAAATGAAAAAAATGAATGTAACTTTTTTTGTCGAAAATCGGTCATTTTGATCGAAAATCGAATCGAAGGTCGGCAGTGAATTTTCTAAAATTTTAGAAAACTGGAATAATACAACAAAAACTCAATAATCAAAAATAATATTAATAAAAATAATAAAAAATTCATAAAATTGAAAAACGGTAGAATATATTAATTCAAGCCCAAAAGGCAACAGAAATACCAAACCGATATAAAATTGGCGCCGTATATTTAGGAGCAAAATTCGTGCCAAAACGGGCGAGGTGTGAGGTATTGAAGGGCAAAGAGGAAGGGTGGCCTTGAATTGAGCGGGAAGATCCTTTTCTTAGCCTCTTCCTCCTTCGCCTTCTTTTCGATGCCTTTTTAGGATCCTTTCCCATTTCCGTCTATACAAGGGCTCCCGATACCTTGGCCCAGGACCCCGCACGTGGCCAGGGAGAGGTACCCAAATTCGCTTATGGGTCCCTCACAAAAGGATGGCTGGGTGTTGAGGGGGAGTACGAAGTGATACGGAGGAGAGGGGGAGGCTGGCAGGGATTCTTAAGGAAATTCGGGTTACCGCACGAAAGGCAAGCTAGCGCAGAATCTTTAGGCGAAAGCAGGCTAGCAGAGATTCTTTAGGAGAAGGCAGGCTAGCAGAGATTCTTGGAGATAACTAGACTACGGAAATCAACCTTGACGGCAGTCTATCAGTCCCAATGAAGTTTCCGAATTCTGTACCCACAAAAAGCTTTGAAAAAACCCCCAGAACTTCGGTTGTTTCCTTTTTTTTTGGCGCCCGGAAGCGGTATATGGGTGTTTGAGAGTGGTACGGGTGAAGGGGGGAAAGAGCATCGATGGTCGACTCGATACCCCCAAAAAGCCCCGATGGCCCTCAGCCAAAAACGACGACGGAGGAGGAAGGGGAGTTGGAATCGGAGCCTGGCCCCATTCGGGAAATTGGTCCCCGGCAGAGGCCAGCCAGTGATTCCGTTACGCTACTCTCGGAACGACGTCCCATTTTGGATGGAGATGGCAACTGGGTCAAAAAAAGAGTTAAAAAGGAGAGAATTTGGTTATGGGGACAAAAAGTAAAAAGTTGGTGTGGTCGGGTTGAACTTGAGTTGATAAATTTAGAGGTAGCGCTATTCAACGATAAACCATGATTTAAGCAATCCTAAGCCGAAGCCTAAGCCTAAGTTTATTCCCAAATCACTCGAAAGCTTTCCGTAGTTTTAGCGAGCTCGTTTGCTTCCCAAACCCTTTAAAATCCCTTACGCACACTAGTCAAAAATGCCGCAAGAAAGGTCAGCCGCAAAAAAAAAAGTTGGACCATAAAAATCGTTTGGGGGAAGATGACCCCGGGTGGTGGGAAGGGGTCCATTTCAGAGGAGGACGAGCGGAAGGGGAGCACGAGGGTAAAAGGAGGAATGGACGGAGGGTGACCCTGGGTAAAGAAGGCAAAAAAACTGAAGAAGAGGAGAGGCTGGCAAGCCCAGAGGTCATCCGGATCTAGCAAACATCAATTCGGGAAAAGCACGTAAAATTATGACCGGAAAAACTAAAAAAATTTTTTTTAAATTAACGGATGAATGGCACAACACAACACAATTAAAGTACTAAAACTAGCGGAAAAAATAGAATACAACCCGGTCGAAACACCCAAAACATCGCATTCTCCCAAAAATTAAATTTAGGACTCAGAAAACATTTTTTAATGCTGAGAATTAAGGGGAAACGCGAAAAATGGGCTCGATTTATACATCTACATAGAGCTAACAAAACCGTGAATCGAAGATAAATCATAAAGAGGATAGATTAAATATCAACCCTATTAAAAAAGAAAGGAAAACCCCCAAATGCCTAATTTTGAAAAATTAAACCCGAAAGCTCTGAAAACAAGGCGGCGAAAATAGTGTCAAACAAGACGACAAACATCTAAAAATCGAAGAAATAAAGCCAAGACTAAAAAGCCAAAAAGCCTCTCTCTCCAAAAAAGGATGGGTAGGGGTGTAGGGGGGAGGGATGGGGTACACGACATGAGAAGAACACCATGGCGATCGATGAGACGAGCAATGGCACACCACCCATATACCCCCCAATACCCACCAGATGGCCCCCTTTTGGGGGTGAGAAAGAAC